AGAAAGGGGAAGGTTTTTACAACCCCCCCTTTGACAGCTGAGAAGATGAAAGGGAGAAGAGCTGCAGTCCAGGGGCTGCAGGAGGCCAGGAGCTGAATGTGGCATCAGGGCCAGGCCTTGCCCCTCTGCTGCAGCCAACAGCACTTGTGAGACATCAAAGTGCTGAGCTTGATACTGAATTATTGACATTTTCAAATAGGGCAGCAGGTAGAAATAAGCAGGTAGAAATAAGGAGCATTTGCTACTCACACTTTTGGGAGGATGAGTTGCTCTTTTCAAAGGAAATGGCTTCTTATCAGAAATAAACTTTCAACCCCCATTTATCCTTCAAATTTCCTTCAAGTTGTTCACATTTTTATCTAAGAAAGTCTTTGCAGACACCAAAACTGCCCAGTTTGTGCAACACCTTCCAAGTTGACCCAAGATTGTGCATTCAGGTTAGGGAAAAACAAACAAACAAACAAAAAAAACCAGCACAAAAAAGCCTTGTTTTTGAGACTTGCATTTAGCAGGAAATTAAAAACATTCATTCTCAACAACCTTTCTCACTCAGAAAAATCTCCTCTGTGACTTCAGTCCTACTTCCTAAAGAAAGAGGTGAGAAAAGAAGTGCTCTGTCCTCCCAGCAAAGCTTTGTGTTTTCCCAGCCTACCTCTCACCAGCCCCCACGACTCACCACACTTTCCCATCATGTGATTCCCGGGACTCCAGGCACAGCCTCCAACCAGAGCAGTGACCCTGGTTCTCTCCAGTTAAACCTGTTACCTACGTGAATGAGCTGGGGAAAACCAACAGGAGGCCTCCCAGCAACGAGTTTGTGACTCCAGGGGTCAGTGGCAGGGGTTTGAAACCCTCCACAAGTTTGGGATAAATTCTGAGATGATATATAGTCCAGACTCATATTCTCCCAATCCTATTTACTAAAGCAATAAGAACTTGCACTTCCCATGGCACCCAGGGCATATTATTATACTATGCAATTTCCTTCTGCAAAAAGCCAATTAACTGTACATGTCTGTACCCATTCTGCCAACTACATCATTTTATAATTTCAGAACAGCAGCACAAACTGCCAGGGAATTATCAGCAAGAACTGTTCTGCAATAATTAATAGATGCAGAGATTAAGAAAAGGAGCAAACTAACCACGCAAATTAACACAGTCAATTATAATGCAGCACTTTACAGGGCCAGGATCTTGTGTAAAATGAAGTTCCTTATTAAGCTTTACCATCTCCCCCCTATGGCAGAGGCCGAGGAGCAGCCTGAACACGAGCTGGTTTGAAAACTGGGTTTTGGGGTTTTTTTTATTTCCCCCTGTTTGTGCTCTAAGGCAGAGATTTGAGAACAAGCAGGTCTGATTGTAGTTTGGGATCTTAAATCATCTCTGACCCCCCTTCCCTCTCACCTTTGATCAACAGGTGATGGAGTCATGCTGAAAAAAACCTTCCATAACTGACTTTTCCTTTCATGGATCTGGGTGTTTTCCACTCTTCCAGACAGTTGTGAGTCCAGGGTGGACACTACTGGCCTCACCATCTGACCTCCAGTGGGCTCCTGACTGCACAGCACAGGCTGCTCAAAGCATGGACAGCACTGAAACCTTCAGCTTCACCCAACTTCCTCAGGGCCTCTGGAAAATCCACTCCCTCCCAGTTTTGTGGAAAGCCTCTGGTCTAAGCAACTGAGATTCTCTCACCATTTTTTTTTAATATTTCTCATATTTGGGTTTGTAGTTTTAGGCTGCAGGAGACACATTTACAGAACAGTATAATCTCTGCTGGTTCAGACTCTCCTCTCCTTTCTCATCCATACTCCTCCTCCTGCAGTATCACGACTATCACCAAGCAACTAATGTTAAAACTGGAAAGAACTTCTAAATTTCCTCGAAAAAAAAAAAAAAAAAAGACGGGGGAAAAAAAAGGAAAAAAGAGAGAAGAGAATCAGTGATCTTAATATTTAAAGGCTCAAAATACTCAAAATGAAGGATTAAAAAAAAATTAGGTTTGGAAAGCTAAAGAAAACAGAATAGTCTCATTTATTGAGAAATATTGCTGACTCCTACCACTCCAGCAGAGCGTGCTCAACTTGCAAAAGAAACAGTTTGTCCTCAGAGCAACAAAACTATTTAAGAAAATTACTTTTCTTGTTGTTGTTCTTTTCCTTTACCTTTGGCTCCTGAGCTTTCTGGGCATATTTTATCTCTTGCTTCTAGATGCATAGGGCCTGTTTCCTTAAGGAAGGAAGCAGATCCACATACATTCAGATGACTGCAATCCCACATAGCAGGGCACCTAATGAAGAGACCATGTAAAAAAATGGTCTTTTACCACCTTCTGTTTCAAATGTTGAAGAAAACTGCTGAATTCCAGGCTGGACACTATAGGCTTAGGGTGAGGAAAAGCACAATTCTCCCTCCACCCCATGATGATGAAAGATTTCTCTCCAACAGAAAATGACATGGCTTTTTCAGCAGCTTCTAAAAGGGGCCTGGATTTTTTTTGCTTGGCTTTTCATCATTAAAAATTGAGATCCTCAGCTGGAGAGCAGAGGGAAGTGTAGGAGCATCAGCTGAGCTTAATTTTCCTTTTACAGAAATCTGACTCACTGGTGCTTTGGCTTTACTTGCTCCTCCTTTCATCTGGAGCCAGGCGGGTGCCTGGAAGGTGGAGCTGCCTGAGCACAACTGGCAGTTCTGCATTATCAGAGCCCAACAGGATGATTTATGGAAGATGAGGACTGAGCTCCTGGCTTCTTGTTTTTGCCGTGGGAGATGTTCTCCTGTTGATACCCAATCGTGGAAGGTTTTCAGCGTTGTCATGGGAACGGCTCTGCTCCTTGGAGAGCAGCCTCTCCTCCATGCGAGGCTGCCTTGCTTGTTTACTGTACAAAGCCATTTTTCAGGACATTTTGCCTTGGATTTCCAATAGTCTCACCTTTCCTAAAACTCAGGTAGTAGAAATTATGGAGATTATGACGGATGGTGATAAAGCTTCCAGAGGGAAACAGGCAGGATCCAGTATGTGTCAACAGCATGAGCTTTTTCATTTGCCAGAAAAGTGATCTGACAGCTTCATTATCTACTTAAAAGGCTCACTCTTGCTCTCTCTCTCTCACACATACACAATTCCTTCCCCCAGGAATTTATCAACAGGATTTGTTTGTGCAGTCACAAAAGGTGTGGAGGTGAAGCCAGCACATGGCACAGCCCCTTTTAGGATGTGCTGATGCAGAGATATTTGCAATGTCTTGTTTCATCAAGTGACAGCCTGTGCAGAAATACAGCTGCTATGAGAGCCCCTCGGGGGCTAATTCTTTCATACTCCTGCATGCCCAGGCTACAGTGACAGGAGGAAAGCACTGTCCTACCATGCCACCACCAGCAGCTCTTGACAGCACCTCATGTTATCAGCTCTTGGGGATGAGGCAGCAGCAAAGAAAACCCCTGTGGAAGACTTCAGTTTTGTAGGCATTACTAAGCAAAAAATGTGTCTTTTATAGCTTCAGTCCTCAATGCTGAAAGCAACTGGTAAAAGCAGAGTTTCGTGTGATCAAGAGTTTGGGTAGATTTTGAAAGTAAAAAACATTTCTAATAGCTGGCTCCTTTCTGTTCCTGAAATGACCACCCCCCTCTGTAGGGCCCTGTGGCTCAATAAGGGGCTTCTGCAGGACAAGAAAAACCTTCCAATGACTAAATGCTACTCTGATTACAGATCCCCACCGAGGGTTGAAACTGGCTTTCAGTTTGACAGAAATCTTCACCGCAAAAACCGGAATGACATTCTACAGTTATTTATTCCCAGCCCATCTCTGGGATCACATCCCTCCACTCACACACCAGCACGTGCTCCTGGGACAGCCACAAGCTCATCACAGGTTATGTGACACAGTGAAGTACAAGACTTTTTTTTTGGTCTTAAAATCTTGCTACTCTGGGATGAGATTATCCCCCTGTGAGTCATTAATCCACAGCCAGCTTGTAACACACAGTGAGAAGCAGAACCCTGCTCTCAAATCCCTGCTGCACTGGCCAAGGACATCAGGCACTTTCTGAGCACTCAGCGCCCACCACACACCTCAGTGCTCATTCCTATCTCCATGCAAGACCTTCAGCATTAGATGGCTTTTGTGATCCTATTCCAGACTAGAACTGAACTTGAGCATTAAAACTCTGCTGGAGCCAGCCCCAGCCTCTCACCTGGGTGTGACAGATGGAATGACCTTGATCTCGCCCTGTAGTGCCTCTGCCCCAAAGCATGAGTCCTTTCTGTAATTTTGGTTTAAGCAGATTCAGAAGCACGTGTCTAACAAAAGAAATATCACATCCACTTCTTGCACAGTGGTAGGTCGTGGTGCTGCACTTCCACTGGGAAATCCTGAGTAGTTCTGGAACAGGGCAGCAGCGACTTTTCCTTCAGCCTGACCTGCTGGAGCTAAGGAGTCAGTGGCAAGCCTGGAACAAATTAGGCAGGTTCAGGTGCTAAAGAGATGGCAACACACAGATTAATCAAACAGACAGACACTGGGATAATATCTTCAGTCTCCTTTATTTCCATTTATAGAAAAGTATGAATATAAATCAGCAGATTTTAAGGAAAATATTTCAAATATTTCCCAGTCAAAACCACAAGGCTATAGCCAGGCCTTCCTATTTAGAGCCCCAGGACTGTACTGCACTTTGGGGCAACTCAAGAGATGCTCCTTGAAACCTTAAGTCCAAGGGCCAACTTGTCCCTGATATCTGCTATTCTCACAGGTTTGAGCAGATTCATTTCTAAGTTCTGATATTAACTCAGCAGTGCAAGATCAACCCTCTGTAAGAATGAGGGTCAGTACGAAATGATGAGACCAGGGAGGGTGAAAACAGAAGGAAAAGATACACAAGCACAAGCAGGAAGCATCCACAAAGTGCTATTGCCATGAAAAGAGGAAGGCACTTGAGTTAATTCACTTTGTATTGTTGATTTTTCATTGAGACTTTAGAAAAAGAATAATTAAACCTGGGTTCTTACGGCCTTTACTGTCGCATTTGTTATTTGGTAAATTCTCTATCCTCTCAAGAAAGGAGGGATTTGCAAGAAGTCATCAGGGTCAGACATGTCTCTCTCAGGGAAGAAAGAGACTGGCACTTCCCAGCCAGCCTGATTTCTTTGGAAATCGAGGAGCACAGACAGACAGAGGATTCCGGGTGCCCCCTCTGACACTCAGCAGTCGCTGCTTTGCCTGGGGCTCCCGCTGCTGCCAGAGGAGGCACCACAGCACTGGGGCTGCCTGGGGAAGTCAGATGAACAAGAAGCTGTGAACAGAAGGGCAGGAGCAAGTGTCCAGCTGGCGAATTCTCCTCCAGGTTCCCTTGCATCGAGGGTTCCCCACCGCCTGCCAGTGCAACAGCTGATTCCTGAAACACAGTCACCAGAGGGAGACAGTAAATAAGCTGCACCCCCACTGCAGGGCAGTCACAATGAGGCCTTAAATCTCCCAGGAAATCCCATTTAGTCTGACAACATCCATTTTCACTCCATGGCCCCAACTCTACCTTTCTACCACTGTGAAGAGGCAGCAGCCACAGGGAGGCTTGTAGGTCGTACAAGTGTGAAGCAAAACCTCACAGCCACAAAAATGGAGATTTTGCCGTAGCACTGTGCCCATTCCCAGATTTTAGCATTCAGCAGTTTAAGGGAATTCCTCACATCACTGTTTTCCAGCTCTGACCTTTGGAGAATCACAAATACCACAACTAGATAAACTCTGGCCTTGTGCAGAGAGCTGCCCACAGATAGACCAGCAGACCCCCAGCTTTCTTTGGTTTACAGTTCTGTGGAAACTGGAATTACTGCTTTAGCTCCACAAAGATAACCCTGCCCTTGGCTTAATGAGGTGTCATGCTCCAGAGCCGGGATTTATGTGCCACACATGGCTGGAAAAAGCTCGCTGTATTTTTCTTTTGGCTCGGGGTCATTTCAAAACACCAGAATCTGAGGATTAAGATCCTGGATAAAGCAGGCTGTGCACAGAGCAGTCCCATACCCTTCAAAACTCTGGGCTGCAGCTTTACCTTAAGCTCAACTTGATTACTCTCATCTTGCTGGTGGGGAAGGCAAATACTGACTTAGCTATAAATCAAGTCAAATCAAGTCCATCCATCCTCTCTCTCCCTTCACCCCACATGGGCACAAACTGCTGCAGTCTGGACATTCATGTGCTGCAAGCACCACATCTTGCTCCAGATGATGAGGAGCAGCTGATCCTCCAAGACACAGGGTAACAGTTTCACAGATGTCAAGTCTGTGCTTTATTTGTACATCTTCTAGAAGAGGGTCCGAAATTAGTAGATCTACTCCCCAGCTCAATGCTCTGCCTTGTTTATCCCATAACTTTCTAGAACAAAAAAGGCAATGCAAGCTAGATTATCCTAGCTATCCTCACCTGGTGGCCCCAGATCTGGCCATACACCAAGGACTTTGAGAAACATCCTGAGCTTGCATAACAAGGGTTAAAATAAAATAGCATCTTCTACAGAGTGGGAGACAGGTGGAAGGCAGAGATAACAAGCATCTCTCTTCAACTTCAGACATTTATAAACCAGACTCCACTTAGACACATGAAGATAATTAGGAAATACTCATCAAAATATACCAGCATTGCTGAGTTTATTTTTAACTCTGTCAGCTGTTTTCCTTCCTGACAGTCACTCTTGGAACAATATTTCAGGGAACCAAACGCTGGCACGAGGGGGAAGCCAAGCACAGGCACGGTGTGGGTGGGACACTGTGCACGTGGAGACCTGGGACTGCACGAGGACAGGCCACAGCCACACCCTGCCCATGGCTCTGGGTGCAGCCACACCAGCAGAAAGTCCAGTTGAGGGTGCACTGAGTGACTTGTGAGCTGATGGAGAAAAACTCAGCACGTGCTGCATCCCGGACTCTGGCACCAGCTTTGGCCTCCCACCGTCCCCTTTCTCAGGGCAGCAGTTGTGTTCCCATCTTCTTCCACCTTTCTTTACAAGCATCACATTTATGCCCTCCACATCTGGACAGCAAATCCCAGCCCGAGGAGTTCCAGAGCACTGCTCTCTCACAAGCCTGAATGCTCACATATGCCCCCTTTGAATAACAGAAGGCAGAAGCCTTTTCACAGACATTTCCCTCATCCCACTCAATGGCTGTTCCCAACAGTCCAATTTCTTCTCAGAGATCACAGAAGTCAGTTTTTTCCTCCAAGATCTGGTAAAAAAAATATATTGTTTCTGGAAACAAATGAGAGGATAGCTCTGCTCACATAAAGAATATACCTATAGTAAATACTTCACTTGAGATGCTGATAACAAGAAAATCAAGCAAGATACTGAGCCCTGGGCAACCTCCTTGACCCACCACTCTAAGGTCAAACAGTGACACAGGCAATTTCTAGGCCCTGCTCAATTCTGATGGGTTTAAACTACCTGCTGAGCCATGGGCTGAGTCCTGACTTCAGTGAACCAGTCACCATTCACCTCAACTCCATTATTGCTGCCTCCCTCCAGCCTTCAGCCTGCCAGCATTTGAGGATCAGATCATCATTCCTACAGGACACAGTCCCCTTTCCTTCGTGCTTCTGTTCCACATACACCAGTGTTCAACAGGTCAGGTGATGACAATGCCCCCCTCTTTTTGTAGCCCAATGTAGAAATGAATTCCCAAAAATATTTTTTATTTTGCTTAATCTGATGCTCCTGACTGGCTCCAGAGTTTTAGTAAATAACATTATTGCAAGCTTTTATAATCATTTACAGGTTGAATGCAGGTAAGAGCTACTCCTGGCCACACCAGTTCAGATTTTTTCCTTCCTTATCTAAAACCTTACGTAACAAGCTGAAGAGGGAAAGAACAAACTCCAAAGTGACTTCCTCATCCTGAAAGCCTGAGAAAAACCCTGCCCACAAAGGCCATTATTGGCAGTTTTGGTAGTGCAACACATTGTGTGCTTCAGGCCTGACAATCCTAGTTTAGAGTTTCTAATTCAAACCAATGTGCTTATTCCAACATTTATATAAGTTTTAAATATATCCCTGCCCAGCACTGATGGGCAATGATTTTCTCAGGCAGGGCTGCTAATCAGCTTCAGAGGATGCCTTTAATAAACCAGCAATGGGGTTAGGAGTATCAGGATTAAGGCAGTGCAGAACTGTGCCTCCAGTGACCACCACAGAGGTTTGGGAGCCAGGACCCCTCCATTGCTGGCTCTGCCCCAGAGGTGTTTCACAGCTTCAAGCCATTCCCTTCATCTTTGCTGGAGTCTGCCCAATTTCTACAGCCTGGGTGGTGCAAATCAATCACCCCAAAGCTTCTTCAGGTCTCCAGGGAAAGGATGCTGAATGTACAGAGACTTACCAGTACTTCCATCCAACCTCAGATGCCAGCATGTACCCCAAGTCCCTAAGGCAGCTACCATTCACCACAAGTACTCAAAAAGGAGAAACTTGGAGAAAAAAAATCCCCAGTGCTGAAAAATCAGAAACAGAATTGGCTTTATTTGACATCTGACAGGACTATTAACCTTAGAAGCCTGGCTGGAGTGTCTTTAAAACAAAAAAACTCCATAACTGTGTCACCCTAAAGCCAGTGAGATTTAGCAGACTAAGGGCAGGTACTCCCACACCCAGTCCTGGCTCTGCCCTGGTTTAATACATGAGCTTCACCAGGTCATTTCAACTCTTCAAGAAACTCATGGTATGCAACAAGGAGCAGTGAATATATGCAGAGTGCTCCACAGATCTCCGTGCAGCGCCTTGGGACACTGGAACAAGTGGATCAAGGGAGAAGAATGAAAAATTCAACATGAAAACAAAAGCTAAAACTCTTACTTTCTGCTCCCAGTGCCATCCCCGGAGCAATGCTGACTTCTGGAGTCCAGGGCCGGGTGCTGACACTCCACACAGACCGTGTGGCCCTCCCTGAGGTAGCGCATCCAGCGGGTGTACGAGTGGTGGCTGTGCAGGCAGCCCGGCGTGATGGCCACGAGCTGGAACTCAACACAGTACCTGCAAGCAAAGTCACTGAGAGGGTCAGTCAGCTCAATAACTAGGCTAGAGCCCTCCACAGGACTGCCAGACTAAACTGGAAGACCACAGATCACTAATTAAGAAAAACTAAACCAAACAAAAAAACCCCTGCACCCGAGGTCATTAAAAGCAGAACACGTGGTGTGCTTGCATTTTAATAAGGTTAAATAGGAAATAAAACTACTCTGCTGGTGCTTTCAACTGACATGTCAAAAATACAAATAGAGACACAGATTGTTCAAGAATTTGACTAATCTAATTCCAAGCCTGGTATCCATTTGCTGAGCCACACTTTCTTTACCAACTCCTGTTTGTTACCTAGAGCAGGTTTTGTACAGCAGCTTGTGACAGGGCCTAAGAGCTGGTCTGTAAAGGTTTTCCTGTGATGATCTCCCTCCTAAGAGAGTGAGGCTGTCACATCTCAGTGGGAGGACAACCAGATTGACACAGCACTTCCATGCTTCTGATTTTAGCCAAACCTGAGAAAGAAACAGGCAAAGCCCAGGGACTGCAGGAAGAACCCCTGGGGAATCACCAGCTTGCAAGGTTGTGTATGAGGGGTTACAAGGTGGAAGATAACCTTTCCCATCAGCACTGTGTCCCTGCTAGCAAGGAGCCCAACTGGGAAAGAGGAGGACTGGGAAGGCTGATGCCAGCTCCCTGTGTTTGAGGCACCAGCCTGGAGGCAGGGCAGCACACACAGACATGGCAGAAGGTAAAAAGCAACAGAGCTTTTACCACAGCTTGTGCCTCTGCTGTGAAACAGTGCTGCAGGGGAAAACAGGCAATGTTACAGCCAAGGGGGGCTGAAATGGGAGAGGGATGTGCTTCCCATGCAACAAGACAGCAAACTCTGGCCCCTGAAAATTTACCCCATTTATGCAAAGAAGTGCAAAGTGCACCAGATTCTACACTGAGAAGAACTGAAGTGAATGGTCTTTGGCTTTTTGATCACATGAACACCAGTGACACCATGAACGAAGAGATGAATTTCAGTCCTGTACTGGCCTCACATCAAGGCAAACCCCCAACCTTCAGAGGCCCTGCAGACAGGGCTGGGGCTGAGGGGAGAGCAGGGCCCTGCTCCAGTGAAGTGCTGCCGTTCTGCTGGGGAACGCTGGCTCTGAGTGGTGAAAAGCTGGGCCACAAACTGCAACCAGAGAGACTGTGCAGGTGGAATAAAACTGAGTCCCTGGGCCCAACCTCCTCCAACTTACCCTGCTCTTTCCTTGCCATCAGCTGCAGCTCTTTTCTTCCTCGCTTTTCCAAACCCTCCCGTAGTTATTAATGCTGGGACTGTGTTTACCAAAGAGAAAGGGTACAGAGCGTCAGTGGCAATGCTGCACTAAGGCTCCTCACGTCTGCAAAACAGCAAAGATGGGCTTTTAATGTCATAGGGTTTTATCTTCAGCAGGAGACAAAAACAATTCTAAAAACAATTCTAACTTTGTATTTTCGTATTATCCATGACAGTTGACCATTTCACTGGTAAGAGAATCTGTAGAGCTGCCAGATTTTTGGCTGAGCAGAGTAAGCCTACTTGTAGGCACATCCAAAAGACAGAGAGGGAGGCAGTGTTCACTTAATGCCCACTCTCAACAGGTTTGAAGAAGTCAGCTGCTGCTGACATCCAGACTGGACAAATTTTGACCCCCAAATCAGCAAAAATGACAAGTAATTCTTCTAAAACTCAGTAAAGGTGTGTCATGAAAAGTTGATTTGAACCAACTAATATCAGGCTTTTTCTCCAGAAACTAGTTGGAGGTCTCCTCTGCCTGCACTCTGCTCCAGTGCAGAGAAGTAATATCTTGTCTGACAGGTATTGCTCCTTTGTGACTTTTTGCAGATAACACATAAAATAAAATAAAATAAATATATAAATGACAAAAAAAAGTGTTCTACCTCCACTTACAGAAGTTTTAAACAGACATATGTCTGCCAACCCTATCAAAATTGCCAGAGATTTACGCTTGTCTAAGTGAGAGCACAACAGGCCTGTAATGTCTCACTTTTGAGCAGAACACAGCTAATGGCAGGTGCCACCTCCAACACTGGGAAGGACACACTGAAGCCTTGCGGGAAGAGCTCAGTTCTCATTTACCCAGGCAGGGCCAGGGCAAACAGGCCAGTGCCTGAAAACAACTCTTCATATATAGTGAAGATCAGCTCTGCTGACCCAAACCAGAGTCCTCCCCACGATCACCCCCCCAGATACTTTGATTTTCAGGGGACTCACTCAGGGACTGTTTGCACTCTGTTCCTTGCCGAGTCCAGTACTCCACACAGCCAGCCCTCTCCTCCAGAGCAGGACATGCCTCTGCCCCGTTCCTGGGCTCCTGGACGATGTGTCTCGTCCGGACACGATACGTTGTCTTGCAAGGCTCTGCACAGCCACTCCAGGCACTCCACTGAGATACCACACAGGGGATAACTGGAGGAAGAGTAACAAAAGGGGGGTGTGGAAGGTTACAGGAATGATGCCAGCAACATGCCTTCTCCAGAAAGGACATTTTTTGACATAGCTCAGTACAACCTTCCTTATTTCAGACCTGTCCCACAGTTGTGTTGGGCAGTTCCCAGCAGTTCTCCTCCCAGGAGATTATCTGCCCAGGCTCCAGCCAACCAACACAACCTGACAACCAAGAACAATTGCTTTGGAGAAAAACACTTGCAGGTCAGCCTAGACTCATACATTATTTCCCCCCACACATATTCTCAGTCAGCTTCAGTCCCTCTCCTTGCATTTCTGCACCTTGTGCCTGAGCTGGGTCAGTGTAGGACAACACACCCTGCCAGGACCTCCAGTGTCAGTTGTCAGGGAACAGGGGTTCACTCCCTTGTTGGTTCAGCCCTCAGGTGCCTCAGGCACACGGAGCTGCTGAAGGCCAGCCCACAGCCCCGTGAACACACTGAGCCAAGGGCTACCTTCCACCAAAGTCCCTGTGAGCACCTGAGGCAAACCCCCCATGTGTGACCCCTGATGCTGAGCTCAGGCATGAGGAAGTCCCTGGTTCCCAGCCCAGCTCCCCTGCTGCTCTATCACTCAGTTTAAAGATGTGGATGAGCCCATTCAAACACATTAAGAACAGCCACCATGCTCAGCACCTACAGCAACAGACATTACCACTCCAACTTACAAGGGCATGCACAATCCTGAGTCCCAATGATTTCAGTGGAACACAACCTGCTGAATGCTGGGACAAATCCCAGCCTTTCTGAGCAGATCAAGCTTGATACTTCAATTTATTCTCCCTCAGAACACAGACAAACCTAACTATAGCATTAACCTCACTGGAAAATGCATTTGTCTTCAGAAACTTTAGGATGATCATTCAAATGCTACTGCTTTTCTTTTTTGCCTAAAGTCAACACGAACAGCTTTTTAAACCTATTCAAAGACTAGACATTAAATCAATTATCTAAGTAGTTGCAACATTTCTTATATACAGTCACACACCACAAATGAGCCTTTGCATCGGGCTGTAGGCTACCCAACTTTATCATCCTTTTGTGCATTTGATTTGATCAGAATATTGTGCTCTTCAGCTTTGTGTCAGATATTAATGCATTTTCTTTAATATTTTGCTTTACAAGTCAGTTTGATAAAGTAGCTCTTGAGCAGCAAAAGAAAGAAAACTGCTGGAAAAGGTTAGGCTGTGGAGGCAATACAAGTCAAAGTAGAGCTGAGTCCCTGACCTCCAGGACAAACAAATCTCAAGAAATAAGACAGAAACACCTCACCCAGCAGAGCAGCAGCTCTGCCAGCTCACAGTGAGCAGGCACTGCTGTACCTCAGGGAGCAGGTGCTGCTGTTCCCTGGGGAGCAGCTGTCACAGTGCCTGACCACATCCTGCCAACACATTTTCCTTATTACTCAGCTAATGAATCAGCTGTATGAATAGACACAAGAGGCTCCTGTCCATCCCACTTATCCCTGACGACTGCCAAGAGCAGCAGGATTCAGACACAGAGGTGCTGAGGGAGCAGCTGAGGGCCCAATAGTTGTCAGGCACCAAAGGCATGGGGGCATCCAGCACCAACACCACTCCTGAACAGCCCCAGCAGCAGGGGAGCCCAGTGCACGGCCCTGCAGCACTGGGTGTCCTTCCTTGGGAGGGGAGAGGCAGGTTTCAGGGATCCCACCAGCCCCACTTTATGCTCCCTGCTGCCCTTGGGAGCTTTGGGTCTACAGGTCTGCCAGCCTGGCCTCATCCACAGACATATCTTGTATAAGTCACTCTGGAATTAACCTCTTTCCAACCCATTTTCCAGCTCTGTGCTGAAAGGAAAAAGACAATTAAATCACAGGAACGTGTGCCCATCTGCCTAGAGCACAAGTTTGCTTTGGCACAGCTATGCAGGTTTGAAGTCAAAGGCATTACGTGAGCGGTAAGAATCCTTGAGGATGCTGTTTGTGGGAAGGGAGTATGAGATCGTTCCACTTACTAAAGTAACTTTTCTCCTTAATTGACATCCACATTTAGTAGAAGACATCCCTGGAGGGAGCACTACTGTGCTCTCCAGGACCCCGACACAGCCGCACGGGCATCGGGGTCCAGGCTCTCGCCAGGGGAAACCTGAAGCTGCTGAAGCTGCAGCTGCCGATGCCTTTTGCAGGACAGCACGGACTGACAGGAGCAGCAGATCTGATCCCATCCACGGTAATTCAATCCACAAGAGGGAAAGGGACTGGGGGATTCTGACTCAGTCAGGAAACGTCCCGTTTCACGTTTCTGTCCTGTAGGAAGACGCAGCAGCATCCTGACCTGTCCAGCGAGCTCCTGCTCCAACGGGACCCCGGCGGGACCCGGCACCTCCGAGAGCCCCGGCCCAGGTGGGGAGCGGAGCGCCCGCAGCATCACCGCTCATCACCGCAGCACCACCGCTCCTTCGGCCGCCCGCAGCCCCGCCCGCCCTCCCTACGAACCGCGACGGTGCCCGGACACGCGGCCAGAGCCCGAGGGGGGCACGGACCGCTCCGCTCGGGGGCTGCCCAGCCCCATCCCCTCACCCGGGCAGGTCTCGGCATAGTCGTGGCAGCAGTCGAGGGTGCGGACACACGCCTGGTCGCAGTAGCAGGGCCCGGTGGAGCCGTCGGGCCGCCGGCCGGCGCTCAGGCAGGCGGGGTCGCGGCCGGGGCAGCAGAGCCCGCGGGCCGCACACCCTGCGGGCAGGGCCGGCGGCGGCAGCAGCAGCAGCAGCAATAGCGGCGGGATCCAGCGGGGGCTGCGGGCCATTGTCCCGCACCGCCCGCGCTCCCACACCGGCGGGAGGCGGCGGGAGCTGCGGCGGAGGGGCCGGGCCGGGCGGGGCTGGGGCGAGTCCTGCGGCGGCCGCTCCCCCGGGATCAGCGAGTGCCAGCCCGGACAGAGCCCCCCGTGCCGCTGTCCCGTGCCCAGCCCTGAGCCGCAGCCCTGTGGCAGCAGGTGCTGCTCACACCAACACCCTCCTCTCCCGCCGCACCCGACAGTCCCACTCCTGCAGACTTTTCAAACCCCAGGTGTCATTTCTGCACTGACTGCTGGCACTTACCCGCCAGAGCATCATAAAGATTATCACCAAAAACGGATGATAAAAGAGACAATTTTTTGTCTGATTTGACTCCAGCATACCTCAGCAGCCATTAAAAACCTGAAAGTACTTCATTCCCACTACAGCAGCTCCTAAGGAACACGATCCAGCTGGCTATTCTGCCTCTCTACAGAATTACTCTGAATTTTCTGCTTACTTTGAAACGCAAGAAGCTTAAAATGATTACAACCACTCCTGTGAATTATTTAGCTATTCAGTAGGAAGCAAAAGGCTTTACTGTAACTTTTTATCAAAGAGGCTTACTCTTAAATATTGATCACAACAGATGTTATACCTTGCTAAACACTGAACTGGGATTTATAAAACCCACCTACTGATTTTTTGCAAGTGATTATGCTATTGTACTAACAGTGGGTATGGGCAGAATGTTCCCACTTCAGGGACACTGCAGCAAAGATGCTTCTGGGAAAACAGAAAATAACATTAGAAGACAGGCTAACACCTTCAGCATGTGCAATGCTGGAGGCTTGGACGCAGAGGAGATGTGTCACTGTGCCAGCTCGGGCAGAACATGGTAAAATGCTCCAAAAAGATAAGAAATAAAAGGAACTTCAGCTTCTTTGTATATCAGTAGATGTCTGCAGCAAAGGACAGATGTCTCGTTTTCTTGGCAGTGGTCAGATACTGTCACCTTGGAAATCGCACGTGTGACAAATCCTGCAGAGGGAAAGAAGCAAAAAGGTCAGGAGAGGAAAGAGAAGAGCACTAGAAATTAGAGGCCATGGGGTCTAGGAAGTAGGAATTTAACGATACCAGGTGTTAATTCCTGCCTCTGCCAATGAGTCACTCCCCATGTGACCTCAGGTAAGTCATTTAACCAGTGAATGTCTCATTCTTGATCTAGAACAGGAAGGACATTCAAAAGGAGATTGCATTACTCAGCTAATTAGTTAACACAAACCAGAGGCCTGTGTGGCTCTTGTGCAATTCCCTGAGGGGCAGCAACAGAGCACAGTTCCCAGGACCAGCACTCCTCCTTCCATGCTTCCCATCCCTGTGCCAACACTTGGTGAGGTAGGAGGAACACCTTCCCACTGTTCTGAGACACACAGAACTGGCTGAATAAAAATTAGCTTCTGAAAGCAATGAAGCCACACAAAGACTGCAATTTTGACTGACCGTGTGCTGTTAGGAAAGTTGCATCTGGGTCCAGGCATCTCAGTAGGATTTATATTCAATCCCCCAGCCAAATTCTTGGGAGCAAACTTTGTTTCTCATCTCACATTCCTGCAGTGAAAGCAGTTCTCCCTTGTTCTGGTTTGACATAGCCCTAAGGATTTCTTAGGATTTGGGGTTTTTTTTACCATCTTTAGAGCCTGCCAGGGAATGTTGAAGAAGACAAGGAAACATGGCCCAAGCCATGCTGGATCACATCAGCCCAGGAACAGATTTCTTGCAAGACAACTGCTGAGTCTAAAAGTGTGTCTGTTGGCCCTGTGAGGAGTATTGGAGCCAAGTAAATGTGCTTTAATAGAAAGGAAATGTGGCTAGTCCATTGCACAGGGAGAGGTCAGGAGCAGAACAGCTTGCAGGGCTGTCCTTGGCAGTGGAGACTGTGTCTTCCATCCTACGGGGAACACCACGAGGCAGCTCACTAGGGCAGGTGGAAATGCAGCTTCATCAGCTTACCCAAACCCAGCTGCTCTCCTGGCTGGCCACACCAGGCTCCTGCCCCCTCGCTCACTTTCCTTCCTTAATTAAGCTGCCCTGTGCTGGAGCTGCCACTGACCCAGTTCCCAGAGGCCTCCTGCTCCCTTCATTAACTCTGAGGGGCGGGAGATGTCACAGATGGAAAGGCCCTTCCAAGGGACAAAGGGGAGCTTACTCTCACTTTTATTCTGGGTAGTTAATCCGTGTCCTTGCCTGCACTACAGGCTGATCTGTGCTGTCCATCACCAGCTCCATCCTAAACTTCATTTTGCCATAACTTTCACCTCACCCCCCAAAAAATAATAATAATAAAAATATTATTTTGAAGCCTAGATAGGATTTACCAGGTTTTTAAATAGGATTTACCCTAATCCCAAGTGTTAGCCCCTTAACCTCTATGTCTCTTCACCTGATAGCAAAGGTGTCAGGACGGCAGTATTTTCTTTGCTCTGTGTTTGTACAGCTCCTTGCACTCGTGCAGGATTTGGATTCTGTGTATTCCAGCAATAAAGAACCAAGCAGAACTATCATTATGCAGGACAAATGAAAAAAAAAAAAAGGTTCTGGTTTAGAGTGTCTGATTTTACTTTCCACTGTCACAGCCAAGCCTGTAAAAGCATAGAAGGAAAGTAGCCAACTAAGTGATCTGATTTCTTGGAGCTGATTTCTACAGCTATATGAGGGCCACAGGAGAGCTGGCTGCCACCTCATCCAAACCCTCCTCCAAGGCTCTCCCAAGGAATGCTCTGCTTGTTCATTACATTGCAGCAAGAAGCACCACCAGCTCCCAAGAGCTTTCCAGAACATGAGTCAAATCAACAGCAATGGCAACACCACTTGTCCAAGTGAAGGCAAAGGTCAGCATTTCACCCTATGCTTTTGCTGCTGTGAACAGGTACTGACCTGAAAATCCACAGCAGAGTCTGTTCTGTGCCTGCTGCCTGTGCTGCCTCACACCCAGAGTGTGCCAGGGCTCCCTTTCCCAGGCTTAGAACTGAAAAGGCCTTTAAACATCATTCCTCTGCTGTACACATCTGCTGGTTTTTAGCACACAGAGATACGGGAGAAAGTTGATACCAAGCAAGATTCTGATATTTTCCTGAAGAAAATCTGAAGATAAATCAGATTATGAGCCCATCTATTTGAGATTCTTCTGTCTTTTGTCAAAGTAGAAAAGAACATTGAACCAAATAGTCTCAAACCTGCTAATGAAGTCCACTCAGGATGGTGATCTCATTAGGACTAAAGGGAGATTTGGCCAGCACACCTGAACTAGGCTGTTGACCCAGAAACCAAAAAACATCTCATCTAAATGATTCTTAGGCCTGGATTTTTCTGTGTGTGCTCAGGAGGCCAGTAACCACTGCACACCTCTTCAAATGTGTCTTTGCCACCCTTGTAAAACTCCCTTTCAGCTGGCTGCAAAGAGGAGAACCCCACAGCTTCCCAGAGCAGCAGAGGGCAGCAGCCCTCTCTGGAGCCCCACTGGATGACCAGCTGGGTCCAGCCTCTCTGCTGGCTCTCACCTCACCAGTTGTGTCCCCAAGACACAGATTCCTGAGGTACTGCTGAGAAAATCCACACCACAGCAGAGTAGTTATGGCTGAGTAAACACCTCCTTGGATTGAAACCCCAAAAGGAATCACCCTTGGTAAAGGCTTCAACACAGCAAAACTAGTGTCTCCAGCAGACTCTAACACAGATAAAATGCTGCACTGTAAGGCTATGGGGGAAGTCAGGCTAGAATAGAAGCAGGGAAGTCCCACTCCTCTCATCCAGGTGTGGCCATAGGCACAGAGAACACAGATATTCTCCATCTCTCTTCTGCCAAAAGCCACTACACAACCCCATCACATACTGCCTCTCCACAGGGAGCTGGGCTGTGACTCACACAGGGCATAAAGGAAACAAACTTGTTGCCATTAAAAAGCTATTATCTTTAATGAAAGCTGGAGAAGGTTTAAAGTGGCCAGAAGTCTTACTTAGAAAATAGGAAAGATAAATACTTTAATAAAAAGCTTTTAGTGGTTTTCTGTCTGGGTCTTTTGCTTTCCCAAAGAAAAGGAAAGGAAACCAGCCAACTTTTCTGAACCTGGTAGTTTCCATTTTCTTTTTGCTTTCCTAAAAGAAAATAATGGAACAAATTTGTGAGAGTCTGAGCCAGGAGGGGATCCTATGAACAAGGTACGCCATATTCCTTCCCCTAAGCAAAAGGATTTTGGACAGGTTTGCATTAAGTCAAACCTGGAAATTTTCCCTAGTCTCTGAAGGCCCATGGTGACACCCGACTCCACAAAGCATTACTGGGAATCTTTTAAATCTCCAATAACCCCATGACAAAACACACTCCCTGTCAGAAGAAACACAATTGCCTCTACCAATTCCACAAGGCTTTCCCACATTAAATCAAGAGCAGTGCCTCACTTTTCAGATTCCTCCCAAAGTAGCTCCTTTCTCATGCTTTCACAGCTGCCTCCTCTTCAGCCCTTGCACCTTTGCATCCTCCTCCAGCACCACTTCTCCTGCAGCCCACACCAAGAGGTGGCTCCAGGGGCCATCCCTCACTACCCTTCTCCCTCCTTCCTATCACTGACTCAGGCTAGGCTCAGTTTCCCACTCCTGAAGCCCAAGGGATTTTGCTGCTGGTGTTTAAGGATGGAAGAGACCAACAAGAACACATATAAAACACTCAGGGACTTCTCCCAGCAGGTCTTTCCTTCTCCAAAGAACCTGTGGCTCAACTTTTTACCTTCTTTAGCATAGACCATTTTATTCCCTTCCTATGAGGAATCTCTGATTGTGCACGAGACACTACACAAGAAATAAGAAAGGCACACACACACCCCAGAAACATCATCCCAGGTCACACCCCACAGGATCGGTGTTCCCAGTCACCATTCCTGTCCTGTCTTCCCTATGCTGATCACTTTGGCTCGTTTATTCTCAGCAGAGGAGCCTGGGACTCTGGGCCAGCATTGCTCCTCTTGAGTCACAA